CACCCCCGTCCTCGGTGCGAATTCCCAAGTATTTTTAGTCCCATGATAAATAATTCATCGGGAATTCGGCATCAGCTACCCGAGCAGAGAGGAAGGGGAGCAACACGCCACCCAAAACAAACAGAGCTGCTCTCCCAGCAGCTCTGCCCGTCTGAGCCCTCCTCAAGGACGTTTAAATATACTCCAGGCTCTTGCGGTGACTGATCAGGTTTGGTCGTGCCAGCCCTGGCCCCTCACCTGTCCCGGGTCCTTATCCTCTTCTTCCTCAACCCATCCCTTCCCCATGCTCGAGAACCTCTTCTAGCACCAAGTAATCCAAGCACAGGCCAACAAAACCATCCTGTAACACCAAGTGCTGCCTCCAAAGGGGCTGGTCTGCTCCTGACTGCAACTGGGAGCGAGTTTGGGCGAACTGGTTTCCCACTGGACCGAGCCGCAGGTGAAAATCATCCCCGTCCCCCGCAGCTGGAGCGCGACAGCGATAGCAGAACGAGGAGGTAGGTAGGAATGGGCACACCACGTTGTTCGTCCATTGCTGAGACAACCAGGGGAATGAATTTCCATCCTTCCCAGGAATCTGGTGCCGCTGCGGCTGCGGAGGAGGATGGAGGGGTTGGGGCCAGAGAGCCCACGGCTGGCAGGAGCTCCGTGCGTGGGTCGGAGCCAGGGCTGCTCCAAAATGGCTGGATTTGGGACGCAAAGAGCAGCCAGCTCTTCCAGCCCAGCTGACTCTGTGCACTTCCAGACTGTTTTTTCCAGAATTGAGCTAGAGTGGTGTGGGAAAATGAGGATTTTTGGGGAGATAAGGGTGGGGAAGGCAAATTGCAGGAAAGTGGTGGAGGCAGAGGAGGAACTGAGCCCACCTCCATGCTACTGCCAGAGCCGGGGCTGCTCTTGGGCTCAGTACAACACAGCAAAGCCCCATGGACTTTAAAAAAAATCCACATTTTTCTACCTCTAGCAGCAAGCACTGCGGAATTGCTCCTTTGGGAAAGGGCCTTCCCAAAAGAGAGGTTTCCCAGCCGGGCAAAGGGCCGGTGGCTGGGCTGGAGCAGGAGGAAGGTAGCCCTGGCTGGGAGCCCTGGCAGGACAATGCCACCTCCCAGCAGCCTCCCCAGGGACCAGAGGGCACCCACAGAGCTGCTCAGTGGCTTTGGCAGTTGGTTTTTGTTGCTTTGGGGTGGTTTTGAGCAGGTTAACCCCTTTCCTAGGCACAGATTCACCTGATAAACCAAAGATTCACAGAAATCTCCTGCTAAAGGCACCAATTGAGATCTTACGTCCCTCTACCCCCTGAAATGTTGTTTTAATGCAATAGGGAAAGTTTGCTCCTAATTTTAAACCTCCTTTTTGCCCTCTCTCCATCTCTCCCTCTCTGCCCATGCAGCTATTTTGACCTCAGGAAAGGAAGAATTAAAATCCTGAAATGCAAAATATCTCTAGAGAAACCTTATCCCCCAAAATAAAAGCCTCTGAGCCTGAAAGCACAGTGAAGGCGCAGTCTGCGTCAGCGGAGGGGGAACCGCTGCCGATGGACAGAAAGGACAGAATGAACCCAAACCTGGTGGGAGCCATGCAAGGAAGACGGGGGACACTGGGGAGGGCACCGAGTTGTGCCAGGGCTGGTCATCACCTGGATGGAGGGCACCCCTGTGGAGCAAGGAGACCCCCCCAAAAGGAGGGAAAGGAGCAAAACCTCCCCAAAGCCAACTCATCACCATTCCTGTCCCCATACATGGGGGACGGCTCTGGAGGGAGAAGCGCTGGCAACCCCCAGCGAGCACCATCTCCTTTCAACCTTCCTCTGCCACCACCCAGCATCACCTTCCTCTTCCTCATCACCCTCCTCTTTCTCACCCGCGAGCAACAGTTGCGGGCCGGGGGCTGCAGGCCGGGGCAATGGCAGGGGCCCCGCACACACACACACCGAAATGCAGCTTAAAAAGGTCGAATATGGATTAACCAAAAATAAACGCCAAGTGTCCTGCCTGCCA